AGAGCATAGATATCGATATCCTTCTTGAGGAGATCAGCCCGCTGAGGGAGCTCAGGAGCGTCAGGAAACTGAGCACGGCAAGCGTCATCTAGGCGAGAGAAGCAGCGCTGCGCAGTGTGCGCCCTCCCGCACGTCTGTCCCTTGCGGCGACCAGTGCGGATGACGTACGTGCAGCTAAGGCTACCCCCCCCACCCCCGTGCTGTAAGTACCAGTCACGAAGCTCTTGGGAGGACTGAGGGTGCTGCGCACTCTGGCCAGTGCCAGAGCCTCCACGACCACCACCGCCGCCTCCACCACGACCACCACCGCCCCTGCCGCCGCCACGTCCACTGCCGCCACCACCACCGCCCCCACCGCGGCCACCGCCGCCGCCGCTGCCTCCACCACCCCCACCGCTGCCACTAGCCCCTCCAGCCCCGCCACCGCCCCCGCCGCTGCCACCACCCCCACCACCACCTCCCCCGCCGTCACCCCCACCGCCCTTGCCTCCCCTGCCCTTGCCGCTGCGGCGCCCGCTGGGAGCGGACGCAGAGCCGACCTGCTCAGCACCAAGAAGGTCGACAGCAGCAGCAGAGGCGACAGAGGGGAGGAGGGGGGAGGGGGAACACCCCTCGAAGAAAGGGGTGCGGGGGTCGCCACGAGAGGCACCTACAGCTACAATACTCTTCTCAGCTGCAAGTAGTTCCTTCTCTAGGGCGGCAATGGTGAGCTCAGTGGGACAGCGAGCTAGGAAGTGGTCCCTGACTGTACGCAGAGTGTCAGGGAGGCGGGTGACTAGGTGGTAGAGAGTGAGCCAGAGCGGGGGAGGGTTGGAGGCAAGAAACTCAGCGGGCATGGCTGCACGGAAGCGGGCATCACTAGTACGGAGGTGAGTGATGAGGTCAGCGACTGTCTGGAAAGCGGACAGGTCGGGGAACAGGTAGGGAAGGGAGAGACGGCCTAGTGCAGCTGAGGCCGGGGAGGAGTAGCGCGCAACTACAGCAGTGTACAGGGCCTGCGCAGTCTGATGCTGGCCGAAGTGCTCACGCTCATCGACTGGCAGGGAGTTGCGAATGGCAAAGCGGGCGTGGGCATCGCGAGTCTGCCACTGTGAGCGAGCAGTAGCGGTAGCAGTAGTAGCAGGAGCAGGGACTGTGCCTAGTGCGTGATCGTACAGCGAGATATCCTCTCTGGTAGTGAGCTGGAGGAACAGGTGCAGATCATCGAGCCAGGTATCAAACTTAATCGGGCGGCCCTCAGAATCGAACGAGAGAACTGTAGGGCTAGCCATAGTTGAAGTAGCAGTAGCAGCAGTGGTGGTAGTAGCAGTAGCAGTAGCAGTAGCAGTAGCAGTAGCAGTGCTGTGCACAGGTAAGTAGGGCGCGGCTCGGCTGGGGCGGCGCGGCTCGGCTAGGGCGGCGCGACTCGGCTAGGGCGGCGCGGCTCGGCTGGGGCGGCACGGCTCGGCTGGGTCGCGCGGTTCGGTTCGGGTCGCGCCTTGCGGCTCGGTCGTAGGGGGGCGAGCGCGGGAGGGCCGGTCGGGGGCCGTGAGAGGCTAGCGCGGGGCCTGTAGGGGACGTGGGAGGCTAGCGTGGGGCCTTAGGGGGCCGTGAGAGGCTAGCGCGGGGCCTGCAGGGGCCGTGGGAGGCTAGCGCGGGGCCGACGGGGGCCTTAGGAGGCTAGCGCGGGGCCGATCGGGGGCCTTAGGAGGCTAGCGCGGGGCTAGCGTGGGGCCGACGGGGGCTTAGGAGGCTAGCGCGGGGCCGACGGGGGCCTTAGGAGGCTAGCGTGGGGCCGACGGGGGCCTTAGGAGGCTAGCGCGGGGCTAGCGTGGGGCCGACGGGGGCTTAGGAGGCTAGCGCGGGGCCGATCGGGGGCCTTAGGAGGCTAGCGCGGGGCTAGCGTGGGGCCGACGGGGGCCTTAGGAGGTTAGCGCGGGGCCGATCGGGGGCCGTGAGAGGCTAGCGCGGGGCCATACGGGGCCTTGAGAAGGAGGCGCTCGAGGCGCAGGAAAAGAGAACGGCGGCGCACGAGGGCGCGGCTAGCGGAAACGGTGGGCCCTATCGTGTCGGTCCTAGGTGGAACCTAGGCTCGTAATACCATGTCAGAATGAGAAACGAGAATGGTTGTGACTAGCAGCAACAACAGTACAAATATGAGACCCTAATCTGGTGTACCCCCTAAGGTGTAACCCACTACAGCCTAGAACCACATAAACATATATGTTTGACAGTTTGACCTTTTCGCACCACTCCTGGTAGTCTGGCCTGTTCTGCTCTGGCTGGCTACTGATTCGCTTGCGACGCTTATCCTGCAGAAGGGGCCATTCGATCTGCAATGTGGTGTAGTAGGGTTGGGTGGGTGGTTTATGAGGAGGGTAGGTTACGAATAAATGAGGCAACTGAAAGCGGTGATGCAGTCGTCACTATCTACGTAACTGCAAAGGCCTAATCGACCAGGGATTAGGGTTGAAGTACAGGCAAGGGGTTAAGGGGATGAGGCATGGGGGTACAAACACATATCTACATCCTTACCGAAAACAGGCCCCATGCCACCATGCGGCTCTTGAACTTGGTGAACACCGCCCCGCCCCTCTTGAAGGAGATCTTGAACGCATAAGCGAACAAGGGGTTGCTGAAGGGCGTCCCGGTGGCCTTGTCAAAGTGCCAGTTGAGGGCCCACTGTTCTGTTTTTTGGCAGGGAGGGTATGGGTTGGAAAGGGTTTTGTAGAGAAATCAAGTGGGGGGATGAGTGTCAGGGTGAGCCACATCGCACGGTGATATGTAGCTGCCAACTGTCATATGGTAGGGCATATTGTGTTTTCGAGTTGCACATACCATCTCTGTACTCGGCTAGGAGTTGAATGTCATCGAACCAGGTCGTTGGGTGTAGCTCAGTGGGCAGGCTATCCACGAGATGGCTGTAATCAGCAAGGCCCATGCCGGTGTATGTTGCTGGCCTGAGGGTGGAGTTGATAGTTGACCTTGTTGAGGACAGCTGGTGGTTGAAGACTCCCATGGTTGACTTGTCATTGTGCAACCACAGCAGCTTCATTGCCTCGAGCCCTTCTGCAGACAAGTGGACAGAGAACGCTTCGAACACTTCCTCCGGTGCAGGGTAGTACTGTATTTTCTCCGGCGGGTTCAGAAACATGAGCTGAGAGCACACTAAGTAGGCTTTGTTCTGCGCAGTGGTGTAAGGTATACAACACGACATGGGAGAGAGAAACCAGCAGTTATGTGGGTGGCCGCGTGACCATGGGATTGTGACTAGCAACACTGTGCGAACTTGCCACGTCACACCCTGCGCCATCCGACACGTCCACCAACAACCCGGCCCATTCTGCCACGTCACACCTCCCTACCACAAGCCACGTCACCCCCCACCCACCTGACACGCCTCGCTTCGTCATGCGCAGTTGTCACGTGTACCTTTTCTAACCCCCACGTCATCCCCAACCCTCACATGCTGCCACGTCACACCCACCTGCATCCGCCACGTCATCCCCAACCCTCACCTTCCGCCACGTCAGACCCTCCTGCATCCGCCACGTCCACCAACCAGCCCCACGTGCCACATCACACCCTCCTGCATCCGCCACGTCCACCAACAACCAGCCCCACGTGCCACGTCACACCCTCCCATCCCATGCCACGTCACCCCCCCACCCACCTGACACGCGTCGCCTCGTCAGTGGCCGCTCCTGTGTACCATTCCAAACCGCCACGTCAGCCCCAACCCTCACATGCTGCCACGTCACACCCTTTTGCATCCGCCAACAACCCGCCCTACTTGCCACGTCACACCCCCACCAAGAGCGACGTCACCCCCCACCCACCTGAAACGCCTCGCTTCGTCATGCGCCGCTCACGTGTACCCTTGTAGGGTGCCACGTCATCCCCAACCCTCACCTTCCCCCACGTCACACCCACCTGCATCCGCCACGTCATCCCCAACCCTCACCTTCCGCCACGTCACACCCTCCTGCATCCGCCACGTCCACCAACCAGCCCCACGTGCCACGTCACACCCTCCTGCATCCGCCACGTCTACCAACAACCAGCCCCACGTGCCACGTCACACCCTCCCATCCCATGCCACGTCACCCCCCCACCCACCTGACACGCGTCGCCTCGTCAGTGGCCGCTCCTGTGTACCATTCCAAACCGCCACGTCAGGCCCAACCCTCACATGCCGCCACGCCACACCCTTTTGCATCCGCCAACAACCCGCCCTACTTGCCACGTCACACCCCCACCAAGAGCGACGTCACCCCCCACCCACCTGAAACGCCTCGCTTTGTCATGCGCCGCTCACGTGTACCCTTGTAGGGTGCCACGTCATCCCCAACCCTCACCTTCCCCCACGTCACACCCACCTGCATCCGCCACGTCTTCCCCAACCCTCACCTTCCGCCACGTCACACCCTCCTGCATCCGCCACGTCCACCAACAACCAGCCCCACGTGCCACGTCACACCCTACTGCATCCGCCACGTCCACCAACAACCAGCCCCACGTGCCACGTCACACCCTCCCACCCCATGCCACGTCACCCCCCACCCACCTCTCACGCGTCGCCTCGTTACGCGCGGCTCCTGTGTACCATTCCAAACCACCACGACAGCCCCAACCCTCCCATTCTGCCACGCCACACCCTTTTGCATCTGCCAACAACCCGCCCTACTTGCCACGTCACACCCCCCACCAAGAGCCACGTCACACCCCCCACCAAGAGCCACGTCACCCCCCACCCACCTGAAACGCCTCGCTCCGTCATGCGGCACTCCCTTGCACCCTTTCACACCGCCACGTCATATCCCAACCCTCACCTTTTGCCATGTCACACGCACTTGCATCCGCCACGTTCACCAACAACCCGCCCCACTTGCCACGTCACACCCACCCACCCCATGCCACGTCACCCCCCACCCACCTGATACGCGTCGCCTCGTCACGCGCCGCTCCCGTGTTCCCTTCGAACCCGCCACGTCAGCCCCAACCCCGACCTTGTTGCCACGTCAACCCCAACCCGCCCCATTTGGCCCGCCACATACCGGGAACGGGTTTGTCTCCTGCAACACTAGCACTCGTGCCTTGTCCACGGCGCTCATCGGCGGCGGGGTACCAGCCATAGGCAGGGCTGCCGACCCGCCGGCATAGCTGGCAGGTACTCCACGACGCAGGCCGAGCTGTGCAAACATGGCGTACATCTCAGACCGCAGCGCCTGGAACTCCTCCCGTGTAACAAACTGCTCGTGCTCCTCACTTTCACCTAGGGCACCCATGAGCGGAGGAAAAGGGTGTGAAGAATCCCCCCTCTGGCCAAGGGTATCAACGTCTTCTGCAGCAGTCCCGTGTGCCCTCACACTATCACGCTGGCGGGAAAAGGGGAGCTCAGGGAAGGGATTGGCATAAGTGCCTGCCTGATGCCCGCGCGAAGGACCGGCGATGGGGGAGACCGCCCTGCCCCGGACAGGAGAAGCGTGGAGTTGCCGAAATGGGTACGAGGGTGAGGCGAGTGAGGAGTGCGTGACGGGGACGGGTGGAGGGGATTCGGATTCCTCTCCTCTTGGCGCGCCGGGTGCCGTCGCAGCGACTTTGCTGGGGCCGGCCCATGGCGTGTAGAACCTTGGTGCGCCGGACGAGAGCGGTGTAACACTCGCTATTCCGGCAGCCTTCGTTAGATGCATTCGTTGCACGCTTAAGGGCGGCCCAATGCCTGTAACGCGAGGGGCTGAGATGTAGAGGGAGTGGGAAAATAAAAATTGGAGTCGATCGGTTTCAAGGCGGGGCCAGACATGCATGCATATTCAGAAAGGTTTGAATCTAGATCGGGTTTAGGGTTGTACTGGTTTGAGACAAGAGGGTTTACCTTGCTTGGCAGATTCGTCAACCTTCTCCTTCCCTGTAGGAGAGAAACAATGTGAATAAAGGGTGTTATTTGGGACGGTTTAGCAGATTGTTTAACACGTCACGCCAGTTGTATTGGACACAATGCTCACCTTTCTGTTGTCCCTTCGGTTTTGGGGCAGCCTGCGCCTTCTCGTTGCCACCTTTCCGCGGGGTGCTTCGGCGCACGCTGCGACGTTTACCGGCAGGTTCCTTCTTGCCGGTACCCACTCGAACCCCTTTGGCGCGGCCACCCTTTCCTCCTCCATCCCATTTTGCACCCTGGCTCCCTTGCTTTTTACCAACCCCTTCACTTTCGACCTTCACCTTACGCGCCTTCGGTTTGCCCGCTGCTTCGCCGCGCGCAGCGTCACCTGCCCCGCGTTTTCGGGAAGGGCGAGTCCGGCCCCCCTCCTTCCCTGTCCCACTCACCCGACCGCCACGCCCGCCCCGTCTCTTCCCTGGCGCCACATCCTCCTCCTCCTCCTCCTCCTCCTCCTCCTCCTCCTCCTCCTCCTCCTCCTCCTCCTCCTCCTCCTCCTCCTCCTCCTCCTCCTTCTCTGATGCCTCCTCCTCCTCCTCCTCCTCCTCCTCCTCCTCCTCCTCCTCCTCCTCCTCCTCCTCCTCGTCACCCTGCTCCTCCTCCTCATCCCCCTCCTCCTCCTCCTCCTCCTCCTCCTCCTCCTCCTCCTCCTCCTCCTCCTCCTCCTCCTCCTCCTCCTCCTCCTCCTCTTCGTCCTCCCCGCCATCATTCTCATCTTTAGCATCCTCCCCAACATCCGCGTCTTGCTCCTCCGCTTCCTCTTCATCCTCCTCTCCCTCCGCATCCTCCTCCTCATCCTCCTCCTCCTCCGTATCACCGGGGTCTTCATCGCCCCGTTTCGGCCTCGTTCCTGTCGCTGCTTTCTTGCCTCTCCTTCCGCCAGATGCTTTTCTTGCTGCGGGGCGGCCCTTCTGGCGCAATGCTTGACTGCCCGCCTTGCCACTAGCTTCCTTGGCGCCTCGCGGTGTGTCAACTTCCGCGCCTCCGGCGTTGTCAGCACTACCTGTCGTCTGGCGCCTCTTCGCCCGCGTGGTGAGGTCCCCGGGCACGGCGGTGTCATCATCCTCCTCCCCATCGCTCTTCCTTTGCCTACGCCTTCCCCGTCCACCAGAAGGAGGAGAGCCACCGACCAGCCCCACCGACTCGTGCTGTGCCACCTTGTCCTTATCCAGCACGGCTGCAGAAACTTCGACCACGCTCGGCTGGAGCAGCGTCAGATGGTGTTGCGTTGCCGCCTCCTCGGACTCCTTGGTTGCGGCATGCTCGGCGCGAGGATCGCCTCCGTGATTTCCCCCTGTCGCCGAACCCTCCATCTCCGCCGACGGGAGTGCAAGACTCGCGCTCCCTCGCCCCGGATCTTCGTTGCCGCCAGTGGTGCCGTCTTTACTCGAACCGGGCTCGGTTCCAGCAGAGGCACCATCCGCAGCTTTGTTCACTGTAGAAACACGCTTGCGTGGCGTTGGTTTAGGCCCCTTGTCTGCCGCTTTCTTGCCGGCCTCCTGTTGACCGCGCGCGACCTTTTTTGCCGCCGCTTTTTTCGGCCCAATGCCACGAGCGACGGACGCATTGTTTTTTTTAGCGCCGCCACCACTCTCCCTATCGATTTGTTTAGACGTCCCCCTTGTCGCGCGGCGGCCGGCCTGTTCCTCCTCCATTGCTTGGTTACGTGTTGCACGTGTCATGGTAATCGTAGGAAGAGCAAAGTTGCAAATCGCGCGGAAGGGTTGAGCCGGTTTCGAAAGGGTTTTGCTACTGAATCCCACGAAGGCATAATCGGCCGTCTATCACTGTTATGTGTTTACGAAATCAGCCGCTTCAACTAAGTCTGAAATAGTAGCCACTATGCTTCGCGCTAAGGCCGATCTGGAGAGGCGTGTGTCAAGGCAACGAGCAGCGTCAAAGTGTTGGCCCAGGGAGTGACGGAAGCAGGTGGGTGGGGCACGAGGGTGGTTGGGGTGAGTTGCGAGACTAGAGAGAGAAATGTAACCCTATCAGGCTACATTGGACGGTGTACGTGTAGCCACCCTAGCATAAACCCACCTTCCGCTCGATCTCAGCCGCCCAATGGCTGAAGTACCTCTTGGCTGATGACTGTGTTGCGGGGGGAATCGTTTGAGATGCGTCGGCCAATGACGGTTGCCAACACATCAATCACAACAAAGGGTAAACCTGGTGTGAAACCTACAGTGCGAAATTAGTCAAATCCCTGCAGAGTACAGTGTTTTCGGTTGCAAAGTAACAACGCATTTCATCAAACTCTAAGTTGCAACTGGTTTTGTACGGGGTTGGGGTAAGTTAATCGGTGATTCTCACGTCACACACACAACGATCGTCTTGAATTATTACTTAGGAAAGATGTACTGCGCACTTTTAGGCTTTGCCACAATGGTTTAGGGCCAGCGGACGTCATTCTAACACGATTATCAATAATAACAAACGTGAATCCGTTGTGGTATGATGTTGGATTGTCATCCATTCTTGCACAGACATTACACAAGGTGCTTAGAAGGAGTGGTATGAAGCACAGGCCCAACGCACAAGCGTAGATGCGTTATCGACAGTCATGTTTAGACTGTGCGACGATGCATCGTTCAGGCCTCCGCGTTGCGCGACTTGGTGAATCCGTTGTGGTATGATGTTGGATTGTCATCCATTCTTGCACACACATTACACAAGGTGCTTAGAAGGAGTGGTATGAAGCGCAGGCCCAACGCACAAGCGTAGATGCGTTATCGACAGCCATGTTTAGACTGTGCGACGATGCATCGTTCAGGCCTCCGCGTTGCGCGACTTGGTGAATCCGTTGTGGTATGGTGTTGGATTGTCATCCATTCTTGCACAGACATTACACAAGGTGCTTAGAAGGAGTGGTATGAAGCGCAGGCCCAACGCACAAGCGTAGATGCGTTATCGACAGCCATGTTTAGACTGTGCGACGATGCATCGTTCAGGCCTCCGCGTTGCGCGACTTGGTGAATCCGTTGTGGTATGGTGTTGGATTGTCATCCATTCTTGCACAGACATTACACAAGGTGCTTAGAAGGAGTGGTATGAAGCACAGGCCCAACGCACAAGCGTAGATGCGTTATCGACAGTCATGTTTAGACTGTGCGACGATGCATCGTTCAGGCCTCCGCGTTGCGAGACTTGGTGAATCCGTTGTGGTATGGTGTTGGATTGTCATCCATTCTTGCACAGACATTACACAAGGTGCTTAGAAGGAGTGGTATGAAGCGCAGGCCCAACGCACAAGCGTAGATGCGTTATCGACAGCCATGTTTAGACTGTGCGACGATGCATCGTTCAGGCCTCCGCGTTGCGCGACTTGGTGAATCCGTTGTGGTATGGTGTTGGATTGTCATCCATTCTTGCGCAGACATTACACAAGGTGCTTAGAAGGAGTGGTATGAAGCGCAGGCCCAACGCACAAGCGTAGATGCGTTATCGACAGCCATGTTTAGACTGTGCGACGATGCATCGTTCAGGCCTCCGCGTTGCGCGACTTGGTGAATCCGTTGTGGTATGGTGTTGGATTGTCATCCATTCTTGCACAGACATTACACAAGGTGCTTAGAAGGAGTGGTATGAAGCACAGGCCCAACGCACAAGCGTAGATGCGTTATCGACATTCATGTTTAGACTGTGCGACGATGCATCGTTCAGGCCTCCGCGTTGCGCGACTTGGTGAATCCGTTGTGGTATGGTGTTGGATTGTCATCCATTCTTGCACAGACATTACACAAGGTGCTTAGAAGGAGTGGTATGAAGCACAGGCCCAACGCACAAGCGTAGATGCGTTATCGACAGTCATGTTTAGACTGTGCGACGATGCATCGTTCAGGCCTCCGCGTTGCGCGACTTGGTGAATCCGTTGTGGTATGGTGTTGGATTGTCATCCATTCTTGCGCAGACATTACACAAGGTGCTTAGAAGGAGTGGTATGAAGCGCAGGCCCAACGCACAAGCGTAGATGCGTTATCCACAGCCATGTTTAGACTGTGCGACGATGCATCGTTCAGGCCTCCGCGTTGCGCGACTTGGTGAATCCGTTGTGGTATGGTGTTGGATTGTCATCCATTCTTGCACAGACATTACACAAGGTGCTTAGAAGGAGTGGTATGAAGCACAGGCCCAACGCACAAGCGTAGATGCGTTATCGACATTCATGTTTAGACTGTGCGACGATGCATCGTTCAGGCCTCCGCGTTGCGCGACTTGGTGAATCCGTTGTGGTATGGTGTTGGATTGTCATCCATTCTTGCACAGACATTACACAAGGTGCTTAGAAGGAGTGGTATGAAGCACAGGCCCAACGCACAAGCGTAGATGCGTTATCGACATTCATGTTTAGACTGTGCGACGATGCATCGTTCAGGCCTCCGCGTTGCGCGACTTGGTGAATCCGTTGTGGTATGGTGTTGGATTGTCATCCATTCTTGCACAGACATTACACAAGGTGCTTAGAAGGAGTGGTATGAAGCACAGGCCCAACGCACAAGCGTAGATGCGTTATCGACATTCATGTTTAGACTGTGCGACGATGCATCGTTCAGGCCTCCGCGTTGCGCGACTTGGTGAATCCGTTGTGGTATGGTGTTGGATTGTCATCCATTCTTGCGCAGACATTACACAAGGTGCTTAGAAGGAGTGGTATGAAGCGCAGGCCCAACGCACAAGCGTAGATGCGTTATCGACAGCCATGTTTAGACTGTGCAACGATGCATCGTTCAGGCCTCCGCGTTGCGCGACTTGGTGAATCCGTTGTGGTATGGTGTTGGATTGTCATCCATTCTTGCACAGACATTACACAAGGTGCTTAGAAGGAGTGGTATGAAGCGCAGGCCCAACGCACAAGCGTAGATGCGTTATCGACAGCCATGTTTAGACTGTGCGACGATGCATCGTTCAGGCCTCCGCGTTGCGCGACTTGGTGAATCCGTTGTGGTATGGTGTTGGATTGTCATCCATTCTTGCACAGACATTACACAAGGTGCTTAGAAGGAGTGGTATGAAGCGCAGGCCCAACGCACAAGCGTAGATGCGTTATCCACGGCCATGTTTAGACTGTGCGACGATGCATCGTTCAGGCCTCCGCGTTGCGCGACTTGGTGAATCCGTTGTGGTATGGTGTTGGATTGTCATCCATTCTTGCACAGACATTACACAAGGTGCTTAGAAGGAGTGGTATGAAGCACAGGCCCAACGCACAAGCGTAGATGCGTTATCGACAGTCATGTTTAGACTGTGCGACGATGCATCGTTCAGGCCTCCGCGTTGCGCGACTTGGTGAATCCGTTGTGGTATGGTGTTGGATTGTCATCCATTCTTGTGCAGACATTACACAAGGTGCTTAGAAGGAGTGGTATGAAGCGCAGGCCCAACGCACAAGCGTAGATGCGTTATCCACAGCCATGTTTAGACTGTGCGACGATGCATCGTTCAGGCCTCCGCGTTGCGCGACTTGGTGAATCCGTTGTGGTATGGTGTTGGATTGTCATCCATTCTTGCGCAGACATTACACAAGGTGCTTAGAAGGAGTGGTATGAAGCGCAGGCCCAACGCACAAGCGTAGATGCGTTATCGACAGCCATGTTTAGACTGTGCGACGATGCATCGTTCAGGCCTCCGCGTTGCGCGACTTGGTGAATCCGTTGTGGTATGGTGTTGGATTGTCATCCATTCTTGCACAGACATTACACAAGGTGCTTAGAAGGAGTGGTATGAAGCACAGGCCCAACGCACAAGCGTAGATGCGTTATCGACATTCATGTTTAGACTGTGCGACGATGCATCGTTCAGGCCTCCGCGTTGCGCGACTTGGTGAATCCGTTGTGGTATGGTGTTGGATTGTCATCCATTCTTGCACAGACATTACACAAGGTGCTTAGAAGGAGTGGTATGAAGCACAGGCCCAACGCACAAGCGTAGATGCGTTATCGACAGTCATGTTTAGACTGTGCGACGATGCATCGTTCAGGCCTCCGCGTTGCGCGACTTGGTGAATCGTTGTGGTATGGTGTTGGATTGTCATCCATTCTTGCGCAGACATTACACAAGGTGCTTAGAAGGAGTGGTATGAAGCGCAGGCCCAACGCACAAGCGTAGATGCGTTATCCACAGCCATGTTTAGACTGTGCGACGATGCATCGTTCAGGCCTCCGCGTTGCGCGACTTGGTGAATCCGTTGTGGTATGGTGTTGGATTGTCATCCATTCTTGCACAGACATTACACAAGGTGCTTAGAAGGAGTGGTATGAAGCACAGGCCCAACGCACAAGCGTAGATGCGTTATCGACATTCATGTTTAGACTGT